AGCAGGCTGAAGATCTAAGTTGTCCAGCTACAGAGACACAAAGATGTTGGATGATTCCTCAGACTTATTTGTGATATTTTAAAGGTGCAATAAAAACCGTGTATTGGAAAAAAAGAAAAAAAGAACATTAAAGGGAGAAGTGCCTGGATTTTTCATGAGATTGGAAAGTAGGCAAGAGCTAAATTACAAAATATTGTGTAATCCAGGCTGAGTTAAAATTTTATCTTGCAGGTAACTAGGGACCAATAAGTTTTGAAGTAAAGAATTACTGTGACGATCTTGGTGTTTTAGAAAGGTAATTTTAGTGGCAACACTGAGGGAAAGACTGGAGATTATAAAGTCCCCCAGTCTTTAAATTTGGATAGTAAACAAGGCAAGATTTAGGAATTTTAGGAATCTAATATTTAGGAATTAAGACACTTCTGAGATAAAGAATGCACAGAATTTATTGTCTCACTGGACCTGTGAGAATTTATTGTCTCACTGGAACTTGCAGATAATACCAAAGTTTCAGGCTTGGGAGGCTGAACATATGATGATCTAGTTTAACTATGATAATTGAGAAAGTAGGCCATGAGGGTAGACATTGGAGGTACATATAAGTTACCTCGGGAACGTCTGGGTGTATATGTATGTTTTCAAAGGACAAATGGGTATAGGGTTGGACTCTAGCAAGAAACTTGAGTTGTAGATAAAGATGTAGAAGTTATCAGAATAAGAATGATGCCTGAATTCATCTTGAGAAAGCAAGAAGAGTGATGAGAGGACATGGAAACTCATTTAATTGGAGGTAAGGAAAGAAGCCAGCAAGACAGAGAAAGCATGATTGGAGGAGACGGGAGACATTGGTGTCTGAGAAGCCAAGGAAGTTTTGAGGTCTAGGACGTGGTCCAAAGCATCGAATACTGCAGAGTGATCAAAAACATAAAGAGCTGGAAATAGGCTTTTAACAGAAGTTGCTGGTGTCCTCAGGGAAAGCCATTTAATTTTGGATTTAGTTTAGATTTTAATGAGGTAAGTGAACATGGCTTTAGAAATGGAAAACTGTACAGACCAGAGGCCATGACCTAAGTCAAGAAGCTTGTTCAGTTTACATTTCCATCACTTCTTTTTCCTCTACTTATCATTTAGTTCAATTGCTTGGAGTGTAAATAAATTTAACATTAAAATGTGAAGAGGGTGTAGGAAATGCAGGAGATAGGTTGAAGAGAAAATAGGGTCAAGGGAAGGTTTTTTTGGTGGAAGTGTAGGAAAAGATAAACATTAAACAAATAAATGATTGAATAAATAAGCTGTGTGTGCCTCCTTAGAACCAGATGGAGGGAGATCGAAGGTATTTGTTCCTTCAAAAATTCTTGGAGGCAAGAATTCTTGAGGGAAGAAATTAATGGTATCTGCAAAGGAGACAGGTGGAGTAAGTGGTCCAGCTTGCTGGTGGTCCTGCTTTTCCCTTCAGGCCTCTTAGAGCTGGAATTGAAACAGATGGCTATTTGGGTTTCAGGGCTTGGCTTTTCTTTGTTGTACATTCTCCTCTTTTACATTTCCTATCCCCTCCCCTCCTCCCGTTTAATATCTACTGGACTTGCCCTGATAGTGGCTTTCCAAACCTGTCACTCTACAACCATTAGCCTTCCCTCTCCTGGGGTACAGTAATCTAAGTCCATTAAGAACGCAAATTCATTTATTGTTTCAGCAAGCACTGGGCAATGTGCACCTTCAAAACACCGTTCTAGAGACAATGCTTAAACTCAGGGCAATTTGAGGGCACTTTGGAGGGCTAGAAGGAAAGTCTGGGAGCAGGTAGAACCCAATGACATGAGCAGTTCTGACTCATGGTTTCTTTTAACCTTTGGTGAAGGGTGGTACACTATCAAGGCCACTCTCTGAAGTGACAAGTAGAGAGTCACTGGTGAGGCCTCCTGGATTGAAACTGAGCTACTAGCCAGAGAGTACATGAGGTACAAACTGCCTTATTATGATGTCAGCCTGAGGTCCACACAGAAATCCATGTAGGGACAATTGATTGGGATGCAATTGCTGGTCCTTGAATACATGCAGAGTGATTACATAATTTGCTTAGACCTTGGGGAAGCAACTTCACCTCTCAGGTTCTTCACTGGTAAAATGAGTATATTTCCACTTACCTCCCAGGCTAGGGGTGGAATAAAAAGGATAAAGGACCTTGTGCAGTACCTGGTACATACTGTAGGGTCCATAGTTGGCTTTCCTCTCTGCAGCCTCATCTTTTTCCGTATGTGTGCACAGACACAAACATGACTGACCTTCATCTCTGGCTACATATAATGTTCTTACTATTATTTTTCCCACCTCGTCTACTTCTCATTGAGGGTGTCTAGCAGTATCTTAGGTATCATTTTAAGCTGGCTTACATCTTTTGGAATAAGGTAGAATATAAAAGAAACACTTCACACCAGAAGAGTATAGTTTAATTCTAAAATACTTTAATAATTAATATCGATAAGACTGATATACAATGCAATTATTTATTTTACAAGGAGATTCTGTACATCAGGGAAGCATCTTGAAGTACAATACATCAGGCTTTTATTCTTTACATTATGATTGTGAATTGTTACACAGAAAGGGAACACAAAATCCATTATACATACATATATATATATATAAAAAAAACACCTAAAAAGACTTGACCCCAAAGTTTCTTGTTTCAAAAGAACAATGAATGAGATGAAAGATGAACTAGATTCCTTAGTGGCACATAGAAAGCAAAGTAGCTCAGGAAATTAAATCCTGTTTTAAGCTTGGCACATTAAGGGAAAGAAAGGCAGTGAAAGAAGGGTTTGAAAATGTCATCTTAGGCCACAGAGTATGCTGGTAGAAGCCAAGTAACCTCCAAACCAAGATAGAAAGGTTAGAAGTTAGCAGTTAATGTGTGGCCACCTTACAAACAGACCACTAACAACTCTGTAGAGTTGTCACATCTTTCCTCAGTCATACCAAATGTTAATGAGTTTCAAGATGTGGAGCCGGTATATCTCCAGAGCCATAAAGCATTTGACAGTAACTGAGAAATTCAAATACCTCCTTATTGCCCATACAGAGAGAAGACACTACACATTAAGGTCACTTTAGCTTTTTTTGTTTTGACCTGATATTCTGATTCTTCAGCAAATCTTACATGGACATGAAAGGAGAAAGAAAAATCTGAAAGATACATACAGAACAACAGGGATGTCAAAAGAAATCTATAAAACAGCCACAATTTCCTGCACATTAAAGGGAAAAAGCCACATTCATCGGTTAAATAGAAACCATTTTTTCTTCCACTTAGTGTGGATAGGAAGTAGAGGGAAATAGTGAGGCTGTCTGGTTTCAACAAAAATTCAAAGAAAGTAACTGAATCTTCTGTTTTAGGAAATTACATTAATATATATTACAAATACAAAAAGGGGTGGGGGCTGAGCCAGTGCATGGGCACCAGCTACACTGGCTACAGCTTGGAAGAGGAGGGATGAATGAGGTGGCAACTGCCAGAGAGGGGCAGTGGGAGAGGGCAAACAGTACTGAGGAGGGGAGGGGCAGTGGGGCATGATCGTGCTCCTCCTAATTCTCCAAAGACCTTTTCCTATTTAGCGCCCCACAGCCCTAGGACCTTGCTTTGATTCTGGCTGGAAGTGTAGAGGCCGACAGCACACGAGTGTTCCCACAGAGTTGCTACAACTCTGCTTTATGGAGAATACATCTATTGGTCAGAATGTACAACAAAAGTACAACAAATAGCCCTTCAAATTTAAGCCACAAAGTCGGTTTTTTGCCAAGTTGGCTTTAACATAAAGGCTTTTTTTTTTTTTTTGGTATATAGAAAAGATACATGATTTTGCATTTTTCCAACTTAGATTCTGGTTACAGCTCAGATTGTTTAATAGAAAAAACATAAGTTTCCATCACATCTTCAAGATATTTTTAAAAATAAAAATGAGGACAACTGTGTCAATAAAGACATGTCAGATCCTGAGCTTCTCCCAGGCTGGACTGCCTGAAGAGGACTATATTGCTGGGTTACAAGAGGTACAGTGCAATGCTTTCAACTGACATGCCAGTGTGTTATGAAGGCTCTCCCCGGAGGTGGGGGCCCCCGAGAAGGTTTTCCCCATCACCAACTGGATTTGATGGCCGAAATTTAGTCACAAGTGGGTCTCACAACCAGGACAGAGTAGGTAAGGCTAATGGTGCATACACTGCCTCAGCGCAGGCAGTCATCTTGGGGTGAGAGTGTGGTGCAGTCAGTGAGACTTAGAACCTGCAAGTGGCCCGGAACGTTGGTGGCTGGTGAAGGAAGTCCCCCTCAAGTACGCTGCTATATTAAAAGGTTCGAAAGCACTGACAAAGTGTTCAGTTTTGCTCAAGGCGGCACATAAGAATCCATTCCAGTGAAATGCTACATTCATAGAAGTGCTGTTCACCCCAGAAGTATATCCCAGAGGACTCAATTCTGGCTGTGCTGGAAAGTGCTGAAGTTCCTGCCAAGTCATTCAGGAGACTGAGGCAGCAAAGCAGCTGTTTTGGGGAGTTGTTTAATTCCTCTCTCAAACTTCAGCATCATGGACGATGGTAGCTAAAACAGATGATCAAAAAGAGCTGAGTTACCAGATATTGTAGATGGCTGTTATTAATAGTAATATTATGCTCTAATTTTTGCAAGTTGCCTCTCCTCCGCTCCAATTCTACCTGACATTTCTGCAGCATCTGATACTCCTAACTCTCCCGACCCTCTTCCTCCCTCCTTGAAACTCTCTTCTCCTGGGTTCTGTGACACTATCTTTTCCCTAGTTTTCCTTCTTTCAACTGCTTCTCCTCAGTATGCTTTCTGGTCCATTTTCCTCAGTTCACTCATTAAATATGAAAGGTTTTCCCTTACGAACCACGATCTTTTCTCATAAATTTGCTATCTTTAGAGCTTGCTTTCTTCTTGTACTCCAGACTGTGTATTCAACTGTCTTCTAGAAATCTCCATTCCATGTCAATATGTCACAGGCTCAAACTCAACATATCTTATTTATTTTCCAGTTTGTTTATTGTCTGCTTTTCTCTTTAGGAATAAAAGCTTGTTAAGGACAGAGACTTTATCTTGTTCCCTGCTATATCCCAAGCACCTAGCACTGTATCTATCATGTAGTAGGTGCTCAATCAATATTTTCCTGAAAAAATGTCCTAAACTGTTCACCTGAGCTCCTTGGCAATGTCACAGGCCTTAAAAATCACAAGTTAAAAATCACAAGTTAGAAATCAAGTTAGGCATCATTTTGATTACTTCCTTTGATTCATCTCTGGAATCAATAGACTGCCAAATCTTGTTGATTCTATGAATGAAATGTACTTCAAATCTATCTCTTGCATTCTCATTATCACTTCCCCAGTTTAAGCTACCAGTTCGCTCTCCATGGCTATTTTAGTTAACTTCCTAACTGGTTTCCTTGCTGCTAGTCTCTCCATCCTTCCACATCACCTTCTACCGTTTCACCAGAGCTTGTTGTGAAATACAAAGACTTCCAATGGTTCCAATATCCTAGCATAACAGTCAAAGCCCTTCAAAGTGTGACCAGAACCCAACTTGCTGATTTCAGCTTCACCACACTAAGTTCCCATACGTCTTCTGCTCCAGCTACATTTTCTGTTACTCAGAAACATCATGCACTTTCCTACCTCCCATGGCCTTGCTAAAGCTGGTCCTTCTGCTTACAATGTTCCTTCCTTCTTGTCCAAATAAATTCTTTTATATATTTTAAGATCCAACCTAAATGTCACCTTCTCCATCACGCTTTCCTTAACTGTTGCTCACTTTAGTACTTTCTATGATTACTAACAACAACAACAACAAAAAAAAATTAGCCAATACTAACATAGGTAGGAAATGGCGACATTGGGATACAAGACCTGGCAGACTCAGGACTGAGAATGACTGAGGCATTATTGGCTGTACTGTATTTAGTAGGACACAGGTCTTTTCCCAGATTAGATTACAATCTTCTTGCTGGCAAGTATGTATGGTTTGTTATTTGAGTTCATATTTTAGTACCCTGAATAGTGTTATTGCTGTTCAAAGAATGTGCCTTCTCTACTGCAAGAGTTCAATACAAAAAAAAAAAAAAATCTTTAATTAAAATAACAATTTGCCTGTATTGTCATGGAAAAAGGTTTAACAATGTTTTATTTTTCAACTTTGCCTGTTCCTTCTTTTTACAGCAAATTGGAATTGTTCTTATATCTTCTTTATTAGCCTCTTTTCATAAATGTTCTAAGAGTCATGTAACACTTTCAGTGACTCCATTTTTGGCTAGCTGATTCTTTAGGTGCTGGGTGGGTCCTCAATCACAACAGTAATTCAAAATCAAAAGACTTCTTGGCTTGTTTCATGAGGACAGCAAATTAAATTGAATTTATACACAAAATATGCAAGATCAACTGAGTTAGAAAGAACTGAAACCAGAAAGGGCGAGATCTTGTTTCACTCAGCAGTAACATCCTTACACCTAACTCAGGACAGTGAGGTACAGGGAAGAGAGCTCTCACTGGCTTTTTAGTCATTCATTCTTTTTCTAAATCCTGGTTCTACAACTTACTAGCAAGTCAAGCAAGTTATCTAACCCTTCTGAGCCTGTTTATTCATCAATAAAATGGGGATATTAACACACTCTGAAGGTTTAAGGATTAAATAATACACATGTAATGCCACATTCTGTATAGGTAGGCATTTACTATTGACTCTCTAGTTCTCATCCCTTTCTCTTAATGTAGTTTTATAGTCAACACTGAGTGTCCTTTTAATGATGTCATTAGAGCCCCTTCTGTCTGAACAACTCTGGGGTATATATGTTTGTTTTTTGGTGGAACTCTACTTAGTACACAGTATTTGAGTCTTTTGGCTCTTACCGTGTAAAATGTTTGCTCTCTTCATGAACTTCCATCTCTGAGCTTTTAAATTCATTTAACTCTTTTCTTATGGCAGCCTGTGGAATAAAAACAAAAATGTTTCAGCATCTTCTGTCTGCTAGAGCACAGCAGTGTGATTTGCCATCTATTCTCTATTGTGTTTAACTCTGTGAGTCACTATAACCCATGGCAAGCAACTCTGAGAGAAGAAGCCAGGAATACACTGGGTGACATTATTCACTGTATAATAAACCTACAATTTCCAGGTCAATCAAAACATTTGAAAAGCGTAGATAAGATATTGTAGCTTTCACTGTTTCCAGAACATGTGAAAGTGCTTTTCCTGTTTAAAAAGTGAAATGTGAGTAACTACTAAAATATGCCCCTAAACTCCCTCCATCCAACATAACTACTGTTAAAAATGTGTTTTATTTTCTTCCAGATTTTTGTACTCTGTGAGTAGCAGGGATTTTCTTTTCTCCTTCACTTTTGGTGGTGGTGGTGGAATCATTAGTATAAAGTTTTAGTGTGTATGTCTTGGCATTTTGTTTCTTGATTACAAATTTAACATTATATCAAAAGTAGAAATTCTGTTTATGGTTCCTGTTCTAGTTAGTGTCTTGCATCCTTTAAAGAGAAAGAGAGAAAGGCAGACAGACAGACAAACACACCTTGTCAGCAGGTGTTAGTTTGGTCCAAGGTTTGTCAGCTCGCCGGTCATAATCTTGAGCATCTGTTACTTCCACATATTCATTGAACCTCAGAATCTTCCTGGCAAGTAGTTCGGCCACAGTTGGCCTTTGACTGAGCTAAAAGAAATGGAGTCTCTTAGTTGACTATGCCAGGAATCAAGTATCAATCATGCATTCAGATTGCCTCTAACCCAGTGCTTCAACCTTCTCTGTACATTTCTTTTGCTTTTGACCTTTAAACACTACTGATGCCTGGGTCCATCCCCAGAGATTCTGGGTATTGAAACTTTCTTTTTGTTTTTAAGCTCCTGAATGCACAGCTCAGACTGAGAACTCCTGCTATAAACCAGTATAACCAGTATAACCAGTGCTTCTCAAGCTTTATTATGCATAAAAATCAATTGGGGATCTGGTTAAATGTGGATTCTGATTAAGCAGGTCTGGGTGGGGCCTGATAGTCTGCATCTCTTACAAACTCCCATATAATGCCAATGCTGCTGGTCCATGGGCCACATTTTGGGTAGCAAAAGGATTAGGGCTATAAACTCACGTATGTATTTATGCATTTCAAATTAAATACATTTAAAATGAAAGCAATACCTAGTGGGTAATATTAAGAGTGCACAATACCCAGGATAGCAGATTCTGTAATAAATTATGACTTAAGATCACACAATCAGGTAACCTGTTCAATCTGAAGGCATCAAGTCTAGTTGTGACCTCTAGCTACTCGCAGTCTATCTGGGATAATTCCTCTGTTCCTAGGGAAGGGAAGAAGTGGGAGAAATAGGGAGAAAATGTCTAGATCCCTCACTTTCCTGGGGATTCATATAAATTTTAAGAAATATCTAGAGAACTCAGACCAAATCAGAAGTTACAGGAGGTGATTACAAACTATTATCATGGGAAGGAAAGGAAAAAGGTATCAAACCCGGAGCTTAAAAGCTAACACAGGTCTGGTACAGAAAAGATTCCACCCTAACTAATGTGAGACCAAAGAAAAAAATCCTAGTTGGTTTTTCATACTTTTCAGGTATTACTAAGGGTCAGTTCAGTTTTTTTCCCTGATTAGAAAATAACCAGTCTGCCTCACAGAATTGAATGCTACACACTCCTCCTGTTACCATCTCTAAACTTCAACAGGTTTTAGAGTTTACATCAAAATCCTAGATCTACCAAATAAAAGGTAAAATTTTATGCAAACATTTATTGAGCATCTTCTTGTGCCAGGCTTTCTTTAAATAGAAAAAATGGGGGAAAAAAGCTCCTGAATGCTATGTTGTTTTCTATATTTGAATAATGTATTGTATTTTCACAGCAATCTATGGGAATTCAAGTCAAATCATTTCTTTCCAATTAAATAGGTTATTCGAATATAAGGCATGCATGCACTCAGTAGATAGACTGAAACCTAACATTTGGGCAACATACCTTTCTAGTGAGCCGACGTTTAATCTCTCGTTTTTCTGCCTGACGATCAGCTTCATTTTTAGCTAAAGTTGACAGTCAGAAACAAGGAAAATTACTTCAAAATGGCAATTTGCATATCAAACAAGATTTTCACTAATTACACTGCCCGTGTTTCTTATAGGCTTCAAGTCATAATAAAATACAAACTTTGAGATAGCTAACCAAGACAATTTTCTTGTCAACTAGTGTAGTCAAAATACTAAAGAGCAAGGGTAGCGAACTATGGTACCAAATCCGGCCAGTTGCCTGTATTTTTACTGCCCATGAGCTAAGGATGGTCTTTACATTTTTAAATGCTTACATTTTTTTTTTTTTTAAGTTAGGCAACCTTTGGTTGACCTCACAGACTGCAAGGACCTTGTCAGCTTACAATCCCTTATTTTTTATTTTTTACGCTTACAGAGCCTGGTCTTCCTAGGTGGTCTCCCATCCAAGTACTAAACAGGCCTGACCATGCTTAGCTTCTGAGATGAGATGGGATTGGGCTTTGGTTCAGGGTGGCATGGCCATAGTTAAATGGTTACATTTTTGATGGCTTGATAAGTACCTACATAATAGCTTCCTGTTGCTTTTGGCCTGTGGAGCTGAAAATATTTACTATGTGACCTTTAAGAAAAAGTGCAGATTCTTTGTTGAAGAGGAACCACTTAGAATAGAGATCACACTAAGTTTTGTGTGACATGTCTATAAAGGCTTCCACAATTTAAAATTTACTAAATTGCATATATCCAAATAGTGAAGAGAGAACAGGGGATGGATTAGTCAAACTGAGCATGCCCAAAAGTAACACTATAAAGCCTAATCCTCTTCGGTGTGGAGGATTTAGGGCCAAATTTCACCCTATAACCTGGAAAAACAAACTTGTACTAGATTAGAATGTTATTTCAGGAAGTTAATTATGTACACAGAAAGAAAATTAAATACATGGTTCTATTTTGTGACTTAAAGAGATATGAAAGTCTGAAGATAAAAAAGGCAGGAAGACCACTGCATCTGGGAATCACCTTGAGCCCTATCCTCAGATTCCACTAGCAACAAGAAGATCCCCTCCAAATGAACAGCTATGATTTTACTTTCCTAAAGACAGAGAAAAGTTGGGCAGCATATACCACACACTGTGTAATCCTCCCAAATGCCCAAGGTAGTCTCAGGATACTGAGAGAACATTAAAACAAACTGTTCTGTAGTATCTCAGTACACTAAACAATACCATAATGATATCTTGTAAAGGAAGTTTCAGGGAACTCTCTTCAGAGAAAAAAAGATATGACTAGTCCTTCCTTGGCTAGTACACTCCCTCCTTAGCCTTGTAGAAAATGCTTCTCTGTTATGTATATTAAAGTCAGAAATATACAAAGGAAATCTATACAACTTTATTTCCATAGCTGGACTCACGTTGTAGTATATTTCGTTGTTCTAGTTCTTCTGGTGTTGGTCTTTGACTCAATCGTCTAAAAGGAGATAAATAAGAGTATTGTCTATGTTAACCTCCCAATCTTGTTTATAAAAATTTATTTTAGTCTTAGTTTATATTACCCGCTACAGTAGCAAGAAATCATAAATACTGCTTTGATATTTCATTTGCTTATCTGATTCATTGTTTATGAAACAATTTTCATGCTGAAAGTGTTTATACAGATGTTATAACATAAAAAGGAATTGTACATGTAAACAGGAGCTCAAAATTCTAGTTCTGTCTCTGACATCAACAAGACCTATCACCACAAAAAGGCTCTCAGTCAGACCCTGAATGTACTCACTGTAAAAAGAAGGTTTGGACTGGACTGATGGCTCCCAAACAGATTTGCTCCTTCAGCAAATCTGTTAAAAACACAGATGCTCAAGGCATTATTAACAGAAACTCTGATTCAGGAAACAAGGATGAAGACTGAGATTTTATATATATATGTATATATTACAATGCTTCCCATGTGACTCTGATGTCCCTTTCTTGATTTTTAAACTCGTGGTTTAGGAACCACTAGAAATTAAGGTGGTCTCTTTTGGAATGGTATTCTATAACTATTATTTTAAATTCGGTCCTTTCTGTCAAATATTTGATAAAGTTTCTCATCTCATCCACAGATGTGAGATGTTACCACAATGTGTCACGTCTGGAATTAGAAAGTTATTCATTTCTTACCTTTAATTTATACGTCTCAGGCAATATTTGGACTACATGCTAATAACTCTTTAGTTGTTTGCAGAAAGAACTTCCAGCCCCATTTTATATACGATATAAAACTTTATGTATTTCAGTTTTTTGTCCCCCTGAATAAGACTTTCCTTTTTAAATGTTCATTAAAAACAAACAAACAAACAAAACCCCAGCTTTGTGAAGGTTTAAATGACATACAATAAACTGCACGATTGATGTTCTGACATATGTATACACCTATGAAACCATCACCATAATCCAGATAATGAACTCATTCATCACCTAGTATTGGTTTCCTATGGCTGCCGTAATAAATTACCACTAACTGGGTGGCTTATAAGAACAGAAATTTATCTCTCAGAGTTCTGGAAACCAGAAGTCCAAAATCAAGGAGAATGTGTTCCATGCTTCCCTCCGAGCTGGTGATTGCCAGCAATCCTTGGCGTTCTTTGGCTTTAGGTACTTTATTCCAATCTCTGCCTCCATAGTGGCATAGCTTTTCCCCTGTGTGTTTGTGTGTCCAAATTTCTCTCTTCTTATGAGGACATCGGTCATTGGATTAGAGCCTACCCTAATCCCATATGACCTCATTTTAGCTTGACTGTATCTACATAGACCCTCCTTCCAAATAAAATCACATTCATAGGTACCGGAGGTTAGGACTTTGTGGCGGGGGGAACAATTCTACCCACCACAAAATCTCATCTTCTTTCGTAATCTCAACTTCCTTCCTCTCAGGCAAACGTTGATCTGCTTTATATCACCATAAATGAGTTTTCACTTTCTAAAATTTTATATAAAACCATATAGTATACATTCTTTTTTAGTCTATCTTCTTTCACTCAGCATAATTATTGAGACCCACCCAAGTTGTGGCATTATAAATAGTTCATTCCTTTTTATGCTGTGTAGTATTCCATTGTACTATACCACAACTTGTTCATCCATTTGCCTTTTGATGGATATTTAGGTGATTTTTTTCCTTTTTTTGGCATTAAAATAACAATTAATGAAATGGCTAGATCATATGTAGGTATATGTTTGATTTTTTAAAATAAACTTACAAATTGTTTTCCAAAGTAGTTCTACTTTACATTCCCATCACCAGTGTATGAGAATCCAGCTGCTCCTCTTTCTCAGCATTGTTTTATCAATCTTTTAAATTGTGCCATTTTAGCTATCCTAGTGGGCTAGTTAGTAGTGGTCTCTCTCTGTGGTTTTAATTTGCATTTTCCTAGTGACTAATGATGATGAGCATCTTTCCATATGCTTATTTGCCATTTGTATATCTTCTTTGGTGATGTGTCTGTTGAAATCTGCCTCTCTTCTCCTTTTAAAATTGAGTTGCTTGTGTCCTTATTGAGTTTGGAGAGTTCTTCATATATTCTAGATATAAGACCTTTATCGCACACATGGTTTGCAAATATTTTCTCCCAGTTTATGGCTTGTTTTTATATTCTCTTAACAGTATCTTTCAAACAACAAAAAATTTTAATTTTAATGAAGTACATTTTATCAATGTTTTTTCCTCTTAATCGTGTTTAAGATCATATCTAAGAAATATCTGACTCATATTCTGGAAGTGTTATAGTTTTAGCTCTCATATGTAACTCTGTGATCCATTTTGAGTTAATTTTTGCATATGATGCAAAGTATGAATTGAGATTTGTGCGCCAGCACCAGTTGTGGAAAGACCATTCTTTCTCAATGAAATTGTTTTTGTACCTTTGTCAAAAATGAGTTGTACGTGTATGGGTGGGTCTATTTCTGGGCTCTCTCTTCTGTTTCATTGATTTATTTGTCCATATTTATGTCAATACCATACTGTTTAGGTTACTTTAGCTTCATAACATGTCTTTTTTAATTAAAATTATTGGGGTGACATTGGTTAATATAATATAATATGTCTTAAGATTGTGTTAGTTCTCCAACCCCATTCTTTTTCATAGTTGCTTTCATTATTCTAGGTGCCCTGTATTTCTTTAAGAGTTTTAGAATCAGTTTGTCAATTAAAAAAAAAAGCCTACTGCTGCTAGACTTATTGGTGTGATAGCTTCCTGAGGTATATAAATGTCTAATCACTATGTTGTACACCTGAAACCAATATAATATTGTATGTCAGCTATAATTGAAAAAATTTTTAAATAAAATAAAAATTCAACCAAGAAAAAAAGCCTACTGGGGAATATTTTGATTGGAATTGTATTGAATCTATCAATACCTTAATACTACTGAGAGTTCTGGCCCATGAATATGGTATTTCTCTCCATTTATTTAGGTCTCTTTACTTTCTTCGACAGTATATTATACTTTTCAGTGAACAGGTCTTATACAACCTTTTGTCAGATTTATCTGTAAATATTTTTGATGCTATTGTAAATTGCTATTGTAAACGTTACTCTCTTATATTTTTAGATTTCAATTTCAGGTGGTTCATTTAAGTGTCTAACAAGCTCTTCTAAGATGACTATGACTTGTGAAAACACTCAAAGATGTGCAACCAGCTCTTAAGTAAAAGGAATCAACTGTCAAAGATCCCCATTCTTAACATTAATTCCTAATTTTGATGGTCTCTTGCTGACAATCAGAAGGACACAGTTTTGCATTAAGACGGCCATCTTGGGCAATAGCACAGACAGTGTCTAAGACAGAAGAGAATCTATTTTTGTTAATGGACATCCTTAGTTAATTACATTGTAAGGAATGTCAAGAGTCACATCTCCTTTTCCTCATTCTACCAAGAGACACATCTGAGTTGCGCAAACACCTGTCTATATATCTGGGCTCTTATATGTATTATATGTGCAGGAAGCTGACCTGCATTCAGTTTCTCTATGCTTTTGGTTCCAGCTGACTTGAAAAATATACTAACACTTTGAAGGGAGGCAGTTACATGGACCATGTATAATAGACATAATGACAATTGTAGGCGTGATCTTTAATTGGGTTGGCATCTCATGGTTGAGCAACTGGAGAAATGACAAGGAGTCTTGCTGTCCCGGGAACCACCTGAATTCTCTCAAACTTTAAAAAAAAAACATATTTATGTCTATCTTATGGTTTAAAGCTGTGAGATATGTCTATCTCATGGTTTAAAGTTCTAAGAGCCATCTAGTTCCTTAACTTCCAATTTTTTTTTTTTAGTTTCAAGTATACAGTATGTTGGTTAGACATTTATCTCAATTTCCAAATTCTTAGAGGATACCCAACTGGGCACAATATATATTTTAAAAAATTATGCTATTTCTAAAATTAAAAACAACAACAACAAAAAGATGAATGAATGCTCTACCACAAAGTAAGTCTCCAACATACGTACTGGCATAATCAAATCAAAGGATTGATTCTAAGCTAAGGCCTACCGGATCAGTGTGTTCCCAATCTGGTGCCGTATTTCATTCCACTCCTCTTTGCTTTTTCGAGGCCAAGAATTCAACTCTGGTTCACAGGGTCTGTGGTTCAACTTCATTGCTAGTGTGTCTTTCCTCTTCACTTTGTTGGCCAGAGCACCTTTGCAGAAGGGAAATAATAAAATATAGAAGCTTAAGGCTCAACCTCATCTGGAGTTAGGCAAGAGTCCAAATGAACAGTATCACATCTCCCAGCAACTTGGCCTCCGGTCATCCAGCTAACGCAGAGTTGGGGGTAAAGCTAGACATCTAAACATCTCAGCCAGATGGACTCAGATGGGCTAAAGATAAAGATATCTTCTCTCTTCTACCAGTCCTATTTTTCTCCTCAGTAAGAATTGCTAGAGGAGAGAATCTAAGCACGGGACAGCCTTCTGAATTACAACAAAAAGACATTCGTGCTAACATACCTCATACAATTCCTATACTATTTATTTTAAATTTAAAAAAAATTAACAATAAATTCCTATTCTTAAGGCTGCTTTCCCACTTTTAAGAATCAGAATTCCATTGCTGGTAGATTTGTATACATGAACATGTTTTTTTCCTTTGCTCCATGAACACAGTAAGTTCATTAGATTGAAGGAGAGCATCACTTTTGTCTTCAACTTAGCCCAAACACCAACTGTCCTCCCCTCCATATTCTTTAGTATCATCAAGGTAAATAACTTTTTAAATCAAAAACAGATGAAAAAACCCAATGACTCAATGGGTTTGGCTCCCCCTCGCTGGCTTATTATAACGGTGGGAATAACAGGGACAAGAGTCCTTCCCAGTGGCTTCTAACATCAGTTAGCCAGATGACTTGATGAGAGAACAGTGCCTGTTTACATTCATCTTACACTTGCTAAGACCAGCAAGTACCTTTATCTGTAAAAGAATTTTCTCCTTTGCTTTTCCCTCCCTTTCTTACTATGCTGGCTTTCATCTTCATCCTCTTCTTCTCGGTACTGAATGGGACCTTCTGAGTCAGAGTCGCTCTCCTTCTCCTCCTCTTCCTCTTGCAGACACCGTGGCAGTTTAGGAACGACTGAGGTAGGTGGCATGTCTTCATCGAATGCAGATGGGCGGGCGTGCTCCTCTTCTTCATCGTCTGGACTAACAAATTAATATAATTATATTTTCCCTTTTAGAAGCATAAAGGACAACTGATTTGCAAGGCAAAATACTGAATGTCTACAGAAAAGTCCATGAATGAAATAATTTAGAATTCCTTCCTTTAACAATCTTGCTGAGAAACTCTAGCACCTATTAATCTAAAGGCTCAAATTCCAGATCTATAACTTATTTACTAGCTTGTAAGTTACTTTTCTGTAAATGGAAATGATACCACCTCATGGCTTGTTGTGAGAATGAAATAGACAAACTCTAGAATGCACTAGTGTCTGGCACATAGGGCCCTGATGATCTGCATGGGAGGTGCAAGTTTGTTTTGATCTGGTTAAATGAGAAGACTGCACAGTATCTAACACTGTATCTGCCTCATAGAAGACACTTAATATAAATATTGAACCCATTTCCCTTTGGTTTAACAATGAAGTAAGACAAAATGATAACCTAATCCCAGAAGGTTATTATACAGAAGTAAAGATGAAAATTAACTTCCCTGCTTTACACTCTGGAGGCATAAAACTATGACTTAGCCTACCTTCAAACTACTAAACGGCCTCTTTTCAGGGTGTGAACTAAATATACTACCAAAAACAAAGATTATGGCAAAACAAGTAACAAGTAGGATGCTGTAACAGTTCTATAACAATTCTTTTAGGTAGTAAGGCACATCTCCAACTTTGCAGAAAAGTGTTAAATCTTCAGTTGCAATTTGTTGGAATTTTAAAAAGACAGAGTAGGTGTTAGTACCAATGCTGGTGTGAACAGATTCAGTGTCTGGGGACAGATGAGGGAGAGAACAAGATGACCAGTTCTAGTCTATGGGGCTGGAATATCGAGCTATCTTTCAGAGCTCCCTTATTTTATTCTAGACTTTTCTCTGTCCCTCTGTACCCAGTTTGTGTGCCAGGCACAAGTGCTTTCAGATTTGTCTAATTTCATTCTCACAAGCCTCTGTAAATAGGTATTATTCTGTTTACAGATTAGACAACTAAAGAGCAGGAAGGTTAAGTAACATACACTACTACCAGCTAGTAAATAAGAGATAGAGCTGGGATTTGAACCCAGAGCTATCTTACTCCAAAGTCAATGAATGCTCTTATGTACCAGAAATCATATTAAAAAATATAATGGTTTTAATTTTCAAGGACGAAAGTTTGTAACTTTTGTATCATCATGAAAATTTCTGCCATGGAAACAATGTTACAGAAGGCAGGGTAAACAGAATCCAGATTCTATAACATGTCCTATTTGTTGAGTATTCTTCTTCCTTTAAATTTATTCATTTAATTTTTTCCAAGAAGGGCTAACTAAGAAAGAAGAGTAAAGGAGAAGAAACAAGAGGCAAGGTTTGAAGAAAGGCACTCACACTTTCAGCATTTCAATAGTGATGGGAAGTGACCTGGTCCGACCCAGGGTGTTGCTGTCCTCAGAAAAGTTGCCACTGTTCTCGAAGAGCAACGAATGGGCTCTATGGGAGCCCTCCAAGGAAGGAGTTATGGGAAGTGGGCTAGTCAGGGCCTGCTGTATTCGGATATGCAGTGGGACTGGGGGCAGCCTAGAGGGTACATGGGGCTCCCCAAAGCTGTGGTCCAACATCCTCTTGGGCACTTCCTTTTTCTGGTCTTCCTGCTGGGGAACCTCTGGGGGTAGATCTAAGGAAGGTGGAAACTGAATTTCTGGCACAACTTGAAAAGTCTTAGTAGGGAATGGAGGGGACCGTGGGGGTTCTGGAGGTATGTGAGTAGGCAGTGGTGGGGATGGAGAGGGAGGTGGGATCATCAGCAGTGGTTCAGAGCCCACAGAGGATGTGGTCCTCTCCCTCTGATCATTTGATGCTTTTGTGGTGGTGGTGGTGGCGGCAGCAGACTCCGAGGTTGGTACCAAGGTTGATGGAATGCCTCTCTTAGGTGGTAAGGGTGGGGATGGTTTTGATAATATACCACTGTTTATTGCTTGGGACAGTTCAGCTGTAAAAGAGAGAGCAACATTTCAATGGTTTGAGGGGACAGCCCAAGGCCTAGAATTAGAGCTGAGGTCAGTCTTAATCTTTCAGGCAAAATTAAACATTTCATGGCTCTGCCATCTCCTAGATAGCTCATCCTAAAACAAAATTTATATTTAAATACCTATGAGGCTTAATAAATGTATAGAGGTGTAGGAAGACTACTTACTACCTTAATACTCTGATGAGAAATTTCTTACTTCTTTGAAATGATGAGAGATGACAAAGTTTTATGACTTGATCTTGTGAAGATAAAGTTTATATGGATATAGAGAAAAAAATTCAGGTAAGTTTTTTTGTCAACAGTACTCTATTAAAAAATTTAAACATGCAGATAGCAATAAAAAACACTATCTGGTATTGTTACTAGATTCTGATAGTGATATCTAGATATCTTAGCTCTGTATTATGAAACTATCAATAATGACATCTTGGATTTTTATAGCAAATGCAAAGTCCTTTGAAAAATATTTGCTTTCTACCCTTGACTTGAAAGTCTCCTTATATGAGATTATCTTTACCCTTTCACAGAAGGAAAAACTCAGGCCACAAAAGTCAGGTGACTTGCCTAAGATCATACTATAAACGGGCAAGAACTCAGCTAGTTCCCAGGTCTCATTAGTAGGCTCCAATCTCTGGATCCCATTGTATTTGATTTTTATTAGTATCCACCCCTCTTGCTGTCCTTTATGCTCAACCCATCTCCACTCCCCACTACACTGGGGGCTCCTTGATAACAGGGCAACCTCATCGCCATCAGTATATCCACAGGTTGCACACAGTGCCTGGCATGTTGTGGATATAAGACTGAGGCCTGTATCCTATATCATGACAGTATATACCCCTATGTGATCCCCCAAATTCCATAGTGACTCAGATGTAGATTCAACAAAGTCCCTTTGGAGGCTCCAAATGGCCTTTAAGAAGTGGATTATCACATCATGCAGGGGTTGATTTTGCAAAATAACTGAATAGTAGCTCTCTTGATCACCAACCTCTAACCCTTTACCCAAACTCCTTATTTTGGTCCCACCAATTGTTTTCTTATGGTTCCACATGTCTCAAGGTTCCCTGAAATAAAAATTTACTTGCCTTAAATCCCATTCTATGAGCAGCATTCAAAGTAAAAGGCTAGGTAATTTGATGTTTAAATGTCACTCATTATAAGCAAACTTCTAAAAAGACTTTCTAGAAAAATGCTGCATAAATACTTAAAAATTTCAAAAAACGTGAGTTTTAGGATCAATGAAAGATATTTTTGGGCAGAATGGACTTTTGCTGCCTCTCTAAAAATAGCACTTAGCTATTCCATTTACAACAAAACCTCTGACAAGACCAAATTTGAGTATTTTAACATCTGAATTGATACGGTAAATTATCTTTAGTAATTTAAGGAAAACATATACCTGAAAATGTTAAGGAAGTGGATTCTGGTACATACACCCTGACAATGGCATTTGGCTCTAGTTCTGTGGGAAAGATGCCAGAATGTTCATTGGAAAGGTTACAAATTCCCTTCTTCCGTTCGGCTATTATGGTGCTCCTTCCTTAGTTCTAATACTTCTAGTTAGTCCTTAGTCATAAGACTATTATGCCTGTTAGGAGATGCGGCAATGTCTACAGCAGTAGTTTCCAAGCAGTTTGGATTTCTGGCACCAATACAATCAAAAAGAAATTCTCAACCAACCTCATGTTGTCAATTTTTCATATTTTCAAGACTTGATATTAAGTAAACCATTTATAAACATAATCCTTTCATGAAGGACATGGCCTTTTAACACCAAAGAATAATGCCATAGCTATAGAATAAAGGACAGTCTTTTAAATCAAATCTATTAACTTTAATACAAACTCTGTGAACGGTCCTATTTTTCTCCTGTTGTTGATAACCACTCATGGATTGATGGTGATCCCTCAGTCACAGGGCCTATTGCTTTGGGCTATTCACCTTAGACCAAGAATGGCCTCTGTGGTTTAGCCCAGGATATAATACACATAATATCATTTTTTAAAATGTTGTCTACCCTGAAAAGAGTAGGGTATACTACTGGTTTAGAGCAGTGGTTCTCAATGTGTGGTCCCCGTATATGCATCAGCATCATTTGGGAACTTATCAGAAATGCAAATTCTCAGGCCCTATGCCAGACTTACTGAATCAGAAACTAAAGGGCAGGGCCCAGCAATCTGTTTTAACAAGCCCTCCAGGTGACTGTGATCAGAACACCTGTCCAGACAACAGTTTGAGAACACAGGTGTACAGAACAGAGTTAAAAAGAGCTGAAAAGCCTATATATGTTTCCATCTTTCACTAACTGCAACCTTAAGTGAGTCACGATTTCTTCATGTTCTACTAGCCCTAACTATATAACAGATAAAATCAGTTTTCTGCTTCACGAGGTTTTGAAAATAAGTATATGAAAGCTCAAGTTCCTCAAAGATAAATCAGCATGGCACTACCCCTCCAAGGTGGGGTGATAATAATAACAACCTTCATCCTGTTTTTATCACTCCAACCTGTCATAGTCACAATGAATTCTAAGCCTGTTTTTCAAGGGTCTAGTGACTCCTCGCAGCTTGGCGGTATTAGCTATTCAACAAGCATGTTTTATTCCTCCAATCATTAACAAGAACTTCAAGCAGTACTAAGCCTAGTATCATTTTTCCTGAAAAACTGCCTTCCTTCTTCTCCTCCCTTTCTTAGAAATTCCTTTGAGAAGGTATGCATTTGTGTAAAGAAAACAGACCTACGTAGGAATTCAGGTAAATATAAAAAATTTACCAAAACCAATTATTTCCCCTGCTTTCTCTCTTCCACCCCGTCTTTTACGAGCAGCATTCTTAACTCTCCCAAGATAAAACATGATCTTATCAGGACAATTTAAGTAATATCTTTTGCAGTTCCCCATGAAGATATTATGCCAGACACTGAATCACAAATTACACTGGCATCTATATAATCATTTTTTCATCTACTGGGCTTATGCTGAAGGAATGCACTGGCGGTTTTAAAGTAGATTAAAAAGAAACTTTTTCTCCATGCTGGTCAAATCTGTTGTGATCTTCACATGTCCAGTCCCCCAAACTATAAATTCTATTTCAGAAATGCTGTTTTAGGAGAATAGGTATTAATCCCCCCGCACTTAAACCTAACTGTAGTGTTATCTGATCTCAGCCTGTTTCCATAGCCATCTGCCTCCCTATCAAGACTTTTCTCTATATTTAGCACATTCGAAGGGACAAGATATGGAGAACTCTCTCATAGATCAATATTTTATCAGTTATCCAATAAAACAACTATCCAAAACAAAACCCAACCCAAAACAACAAAACTTAAAGGCTCACTCACCAAGGACAGGGTTGCTATTTCTGTGAGCTGGTTTAGGGGGAGGGACGGGGGGCTGCTTGGCAGGGACCGCGGGAGGGAGGCTTGGGGTAGCAGTAGTGTTCGTGCTGACAGGAGCAGCAGGCAGAGTCCTGGGTGCTGGGGAGGGAGGGACTGAGGAATTAACAACAGTTTTTGGTAGGTTTGTGGCAGCAACAATGGTGGCGGCAGGTGCGGTGGAGGTGGTGGTGGTGGCAGTGGAGGAGATGGGCCTTGCTGTGCTGCCAGAGGAAGTGGGATCCTTTGCTTGCCCTTCATTTGCTTCATGAGAAGAGGACAAGGGTCTTTTAGGGGGTAGTAAAGGCTGTTTGGGTGCGTTCTCAGGAACAGACTCTGTTTCAAAATTAGGCTGGCTTCCAGTTGAGCCTGTGTAATAAAAGATATGATTTAAAAAGGAATAACAAGACAGACTGAAAAAGCTAACATATCTACCGACTTCTGGTCAACTTCATCCATTATTTAATTTACATATTAGTTTACAAGCAAAAGTTCCCCAACCTTGACATACTTAAAGTACATGAAACCTTCTCAATCAGTAAGTGAGAGTTGTCAGCATAGCCATCCTTCACACAAGAGCCAAGAGGAGGCACATCAGAATCCCTTGAGTGAAGGAGAAGGAAAGTGTAGATTGAAAAAGTTCTAAGGGTTTCTGACATTTAATGTCTCCTCCCATCCTTGAGAATCACAAATTTAACTATTATGTGAATGAAAGAATGAGATGGGGGAAATTCTAGTTATAGTTACAACTAGCTGAGGATTGCTAAAGAGCAAAACTCTCTCTGGATTTTATTTATCCCCTAGCTCTTGCAAACCCATGAAATAAACAAGAATGATTAACCCATGGCTCTTAAAAATCCAGAATTTCTTACCTAGTCGCTTCCTTGGGTCCTCCTCTAGAACAGGCTTCCTAAAGCTTGCTGTTCTTCCTGGCTCTTCCTCTGCTTGGAGTGGACTAGAAGACCTGGCACTCCCTATGGGGGCCGTATGGCCATTCTTCAACACGGTATTGCTCGACTTCCCTGAATCCTCACCAGCTGCAAGGTATGATGGAAATGGTGTGGTCATCTTTATCCCATTTCCCCTTCTTCTGGTTTTGGCTTATTATTTAGATCTAGATTGTTATTATCATTTGGATCTATATAGTAGTAATGGAAATTAAGTAATTCCTTTTTATAATAAACATCCGATTGCCTATTATGTGCTAGATGCTTTGCTACATGAATAAGACAGGCTTATTGTATAAGTAATTACAATGCTAAACGTTAAGATCTATAGTGGATGATGTGGGAAGGAAGAAGAAATTCTCTTGGGGTAGGAGTGGAGTTAGGAAAGCTTCATAGAAAGTGGTAGCTAAATTGGGTTTTAAAGAGGGAGTAAGAGCCTATCACACGATGACAAGATGAGGAGAGTCTATTTAGGAGGAAGAAATAGCATATATGAAGGTATGAAATTATTTGACATGTTTGAGAACTAGCAACTACTTTGGTCTGGCAGGAGAATAGATGCACATGAGAAATAGTTACGGATAGGACAGGAGAGGCAAGCAAGAGCCAAGCTATGAAGGATTCCGAACACCATGTAAAAGAGCCTGGACAGAATTCTGTAGGAAACAGGAAGCCAATGAAGGAAAGTAGGAGAGAGATATGACCTGATCTGTCTTTTAGAAGGTTAACTCTGAGAGCTGTGAGGAGGATGGATTATGTAGTGCTTTTAATACTGAGTTACTGTTAGAATATAGGTGAGAAGCAGCAGAAGATGCCTGCGGGTTAGGAGTGGTGATCAAGGGGCAGGACTGACAGATAGATCAGAGGTCAACATGATATACAGTGACAAATTTGACTGATATACAGTGACAAACTAAACTGCAGGAATGATCACTAGGCTGGAGGCTTTGGAATCACCACTCATCCTATGAAAACTAAGTTAAGATTCCTTCATGGAATAAGTAGACAAACATTCCCAGTTACTGTGAGGTTTTCTAGACTCTTTTTGAGGAAAGAAATGAAAAAACTGAGGTTAGAGACAAAAAACTCTGTCTCACTTTCTAGTGTCGTGGGGATTGGAACTAGATACTCTCTAGATGGTATCCTTCTTTGCTTTCCATAGTGAGACACTTTGGGTAGTATCATTTTAATGTCTCTTACGTTAGTCATTCAAGCTCTCACAACCAGTCTCCCTCACCCCAGCCTACCACTTCCTACTGGGAGATTAGACAGTATCATTCTTCATGAAGTCTCAATAAGAGGTGGAGCTTGGACTAAAAGTAGTGAAGAGATTAAGGCAAATGAGCACTGAATAACAAAAACAGGACTTTCTAGAATATAAAGCAATGAATCATTACAAAGCCAACAAAGATTGCTAATTTTGAAAATCATATAGTGAAAGGTTAAGACACATTATTAATCGGTTTATACTCAGCATATACCAGTAAAATATATGCAAAGGTGATCAGTTCTCTCTCAAGTTACTTAATAAGGGTTGTCTATTTTAAAGTAAATTTTCTTATATTTAATACAAAGGGTTTAGTTTCTGCAATGCTAATAGAGTGGAGTAGAAGCAGTATCTGGCTTTAATGCTCATGAATGCCTCCTACCCCCACCAACTCAGAAAATCCATTAAGTATTTTTAATACAATCAAATTAGAATCATAACCAAGCCAAAAGCCATCTTCAAATATGAAAAGTACTTCAAGGTTCAAACACTGTTTTTGGCCTAATGTGGAAATATATAAGCCATGCCTTAAGGCCTTTTTCTGAGTTTCCTCTAATAGACTAAAGCTTAAATTAGTTCTCTGGTTGGCAGAGTGGCATTTGTCAAATGGTTATAACTCATTTATCAATTGGCCCTTTGAGCTTCTAGGATAAACACAACTTGGATCAAGAGCTAATAGGAAGCATGGGGCAAAAGAGACTGAAAAACAATGAATGAAGGTGAAAAAACAAAAAAGAAGTAATACAAAAGGTTGTGGTTAGTGAGTAAGATAAGTGGGAGGCAGGAGGGGGCATGGAGCGAGGAATGGTATTATCAAAAAAGCAAGGACCAAAGGTGCTGCGACAGAGGTGTTATAATTGTAGTTAACTACCTGAATACCTAGAAGATTTTGTGTCTTACTGTAAAAAGACTCGTGATACAACAGAAGTTATACATGTTCATACTAACCATGCAGAAAATTCAGAAAAATATAGAAACTCTTCCCATCCCCCATATTTCCATCTCAACAACCAGAGGTAACCAGGGCTAATATTTTAGTATTTTTTTCCTTTGAGTTTGTTTCTTTTGCTTAGTTTTTATATAGTTGAGGTGCCAAATCTTCAATATACATAATTTAATTAAATTTTGGGAATAAGCAAGACGTTCACATAGTTCAAAACTGTAAAAGTTTAATACTGTGTCAGTTGAGCTCATTTCTCCCATCACCCAAAGGATAGGATATATTTTTAAAACTTGGTTTTTAGGTTTTGTCTCATGCAAAGTAACTCTAATGAAGAGAAATGAAATTCAACCAATGTACTACAGTCTGAACTCTTCTGATAAACTGCTTCATAAACGTCACACTTCGGAGAAAGTCCTGGCATTATTAAACCAGCAATGAGAGTTGAAACACCAAAACATGATCTTTATGACAGACAGACAGAAGGGCAGCAATATGGGCATAAGACAAAGTTGGTCAAAAAAAAGAAAAAGGAAACGATACAGTTCTGCAGCTAGCATGAAGCTGAGGACGTACGGGGACAGAGAATGTCTGCCCCAAGGACCCTTCGCCAACCACTCAATTTCAGAGTTAAAGATCACGGCCAGATAACTTTGATACTTGCAAGGAAAGGTGAACGGTTTTTTTCCCTCCAAGCAAGAAAACAGACTTTAATAAAGGAAATAGGAGGAAATTATTAGAAGAAATAAAATACACCTAAGTTAACATTCAGTAAAATAAATAAATAAATAAATAAATCAGTTATTTTCACTTATGTTTTACTATTTTTCCTTTATCAGATATTTTCATTTCCACAAAAATATCTGACTTCTTTAAATAAATTAAAATTAGATGGTATCACATTGAATTCTATAGAAAGATCTTCGTTTTTTCATTGTGAAGTATAACCCAGTAGAGAAAAATGTAAAAGATAAATGTAAATTTCAATGAAATATTACAAGAACACCCATGTGATAATCATGGACAGTAAGAAGTGTTTCCAAACCCCTAAAGCCTCCTTCTCTCCCTATAACATACCTTTCCTTCTCCCACAAAGCAATCACTCTCAACTCGTGATGATTCTTTTTTTTTTAAATTATAGTTTAATCACTTAAGCAGTCATCTCCAAACACTGTAGTTTAATACTGCTTGCTTTTCTTTACATTTATAGAAATGATATAATTTATATTCTTTCATGACTGACTTAACTGCTTAATATTACTTATGAGATTCATATTACAGCATGCAGATTTAGTTTGTTTTCACTGCTGTATAGATATGTCATTTTATAAATGTATCACAAGTTATTTATATGTTTAACTATTAATGGACACTGGGGTTCTTCCCAATTTTGCTCTACTGTTAGTAAATACTGCTGCTACAGGCATATTTGTACATTTAGATATACACGTGCATACATTATTGTTGGATACATGCCAAGTTCTGGACATACTTGCACATGGGTTTACATATCTCCAGCTTTCATAGATTATGTTAAATTGTTTTTCAATGTAATCATTCCACTTTAATACTTCCACCAACAGTTGTATGTTAGTTCCACTTGCTTATATCCTCACCTCCTGTTCTTGGCTATTTGATTAATTTTAGGTTTTTTAGTTTATATGTAGGATTATTTTTAGTTTTATTTTGTATTCCTTAATTACTAACAAAGTAAAAAAACAAAACAAAACCCTGCCTTTTTATTTGTTTATTGGGCATCTGTACATACTCTTTAGTGAATTGTCCGTTCAAGGCTTTTGTAGACTTTTCTATTGAATCGTCCTTTTCTTTTTTAATAGATGTTTTAAAAAATATATTCTAGATGCATAAACAATTTTTTAAAGCCCCGCTCCCTCTCAAAAACAGCAATAATGGAAGGAAAGAAGGAAGGAAGGGAGGGAGGGAAGGAGGGAGGAAGGAAATTCAAATGCCTAGCCAGAACCAAAGACCAAGTGTACAGAGACAGGCATATGATATTTATATGCAAACTCACCCAGCTCAGAGTCTTCCAACAGAACCCCTCTTTTAACCAGCTCTTCTCTTGGTTTCCGCATAGATATTTTTCGCTCTAAAACTAACATTAAATTGGAAAACAGCACTCAGAAATGTGGCAGTTAAAGGTCAACTTTAAGCATTCTAACTCCACAGGTAAAAGAATAAAGTGGTTCAATTTTCTAGTCTCTGGAAAGAAAAGAACAGGAAAACTAACTTTAAATTTAAAAACTTAATTTTTTTCACACACTATGTATGCTACCAGGAAAGTGGCATTTCTAAAAGGAACTATCCTTAAATAATTTTTTTTAATCCTTACATCTTTTTTTTTTACTGAAATTTCAATAATAAGGTATCTACGGAAGAACTCTTTCTGGGAGGAAGTGGCTAGAATAGGAAAAAAGAAGCATCTTAGATTTGCTACAGTTCAGGAACTCCATTACCACTGGATAGATAAACTTTAATCTCATCAAAATGCCAACTGGGGAATGAGGCTTAGTATAGAAGGCTCAGTGAATGACCACTTGGTTTTTTAATTCTAAAAGATTAAATTCCCTCCTCAAAGAGGGGGTTATAGAAGTTTGGGCAAAGAATGAAAAAGTTAAGTACTTCTAAAATACAGAACTCTTCAACTCAGAACATACATTTAAATTTTAATATCTCACCTTCTGATGTCTCTTTGAATTTATCACTACTTTTTTTTTTCCGCCATTTCCAGGGCTTGAAGATCTTCCCAAAGCCTGAGAACTTGCTCTTCCTCTTGGTGGGAGGTGTCGTGTCTCCTCCTGCTTCCACACTGTCCATGATCATGCCTGGGTTTGCAGTGGGCTGGTCTGCCTCTTCTGTTGCATAGTGAGAGGAAGAGAGAGAAAATAGCCAATTTATTATTTCAGCATAAACTTGAAAATGTCCCTTCCCCTCTCTTCCTGTGATAGTTGGAAAGGATGAGAGCAATGATAAACAATCATGCAGACAGTCAGACTCCTTGACATCACATGGACACCAAACACTAAAATTCATAACAGATAAATTACTAAGGAGTAAAAGGAACCAAACCAAGCTGACAACATTTTAGGACAAAAATTCAATGAGATGATCACAACCAGTTCAAAATCTCTTAAAGGCCTATACAAACACAAATGTGGATGTCTTCCCAATGTGCATGAGATCTTGCCCAGATGCAGCCTATTGTTGTTGCCACTCATCCTTTTGGCATGGAGGAAGGCCTGTCCCAGCTAACACTACTACCTCCATGTCACTGAAGCAGGGAATTCCATTATTAGTGAGTCATTATTTTTTGTTAAATTGCCCCCTCCCTGTCTTCCTCTTTCAGGATATAAATAGTTCTGAGAAGGGATAACACATAAAGTGTTAACGCCTTACTTATATCTGTTTTTCAGATTATTTTCTCCCTTTACAAGCCCCTAGGCAGTTTTGGAGCACTGGAAGGGTCTTGTGATAGGGGGCAGGGGCACAGAAAGAGTGCTTTAAAATGGAAGGAAATTTTTTTTGGAAAGCAGAGGTGAGATTTTAGTTTGCCTATCACAAGATTGCTTTAGGGACAATCCTGATTTTAAGGATTTCACAAGAAACATAACTGACATGATAAATGTGCAGGATTGAAATGAAACAGTATAAATAAGTCCCTCATAATACCATACATGCAGAGTTTAGTTAGGTAGCTTTAGTGGCAGAGAAAGGAGCAGCCAAGACTGGGCCAAGAATAATAATTTAAAAAACAGCAGGAAGGCAACAAAAAAAGAAGGAAGGCAACACAATACAGCTTTGCACTCCACCTACTGTCCCAGGGTTCTCTGGAGAAGTCTAGAGGAGAAGAAAAAAAAGAGTCATGTGGAATAACAGTCCTGGAATTAAAGTGGAACCTTTACTTTATAGAAATACATGAAGGACCACATACCATATTATTGCATGTAATAAGTTAACGTGTTTATTGTAAACAATTTCACATCTGGAGCAAATATCATTTTTTCGGGGGTGCTTAAAGGGGAATCAATGCACTAAATCTTTTTTTTTAATATTTTAGATTTTTTTAATAAGAGAAAATACACGATCAAAAAGCATTAATTTATTTTAGAAACCACAATCTTTTTTCAATTGATAGACCTGAGTTTATGGAAATCCATTGATGAAGGTCAGATTTACACAGTTGTAATTATCAGTGACTGCGTTAATGACTGCTGATGCATTATTCTGCTGTATCCAGATGACTCAGGGTCCTGGCTACTGAAGTGCAACAATCGAGATGACAGAGAACAGTGAGTGACTCCTTTCTTCCTAGTTGCATAATTTACTCCAGAGTCTCCTGGGTCTCAAGTACTTTAACTCCTTACATGAAATGCAATAGAATCTGATTATAGCATTGAATGTATTTTTAAAAGTTTAATTGCCAGAGACATTAGAAAACCTGTCATAACAATTTCCCCTCAATGGTACCGTGGGATGGACCCCCAAGAATGAACACATGGTATTGCTTTTAAGAGTTAGTGCTTTAACTAAGACAGTATTCTCCCAATTATGGAACGTCAGTAAGACCTCAAGACATTTCAGAGCATTCATAGCATAATGTATAACATATGTTACTGATAACTCTTTCAGAAATGGAGCTAAGTTAACAAGTTGCTCATTCCCAAAGAGTAGCCTTACTTGCACAGGCAAGGAGGATCTGAAACTTTAAATGTCCTGCTAACCCATCCACTGAGTGAAGTTCATTCAGTTCCAAAAAGGCACACGGGAAAATGCTTGTTTGGTTAAAAGTATTAGGGTAGGTTCAAAACAAAACAAAACAAAACAAAACAGACTAACAACATGAAAAAAGAGGTTATTAGTGCTATGTGATACTTTTACAAAGAAAAAAAGCTATCAAGTTTTATGAATTTTAGATTGTAACATGTTTACAGAAAGAAAAGCTCCTGTCTGTAAAATCTTTAAATGAATAATTGCCAATCTAGCCAGTTTCCACTATCTTCTCAAGTACCTACTTTTTCAAGTAGACCTTAGTTCATCTCTTTTAATTCCTCATTATATTGAACAATATATTTGTGTCCCCTTCCTCTTATCCATTCAAAATAACAAAAGCATGAATGACATCTTTTCAAATATATTTATGCGTGCTAGCATATTAACTCAAAACAAGTCTGTTTATATTAAAAAGTACAGTGTTTGGAAAATACCAAGAGCTTATGATAAAAAATGAATATGTGCACTGTTACATCTACTAATAGCCCTCTTCTTTCTTTATATAAAGTCGCTGAATACAGTTAGTAAAAAGAGTAAGTTCTTTTCTTTGATGCTTTATGCAAATGTGCTTAATTTTCATGTTTATAAAACTTTTAGCAGTGGATAGATGCCTCTTGCCTCATTCAATGGGGTTCAGCCATACCCAGTCCTGACTCAGCTATTATCCCAAATTCATTAATTCATATTCTTATATTCTTCCCCCTTCTCTCTCCATATGACAAACAGAACATCATTTCAGTGATTCCCAAATACTTGGAATCAGCCCAGCTGCCTTTTGAAAATACAGAATTTCTAGAGGGTGGGACCCAGAAATCTGTTTTTAAAAATCTTCACTGGTGATTTTTATGATAAGTCAGGTTTGTTACACCCAATCCCAGATTATTATCTGGAAACCTGATACATTTAAGAGGGACAGAGGCAGACATTCTCTATACGCCTAATAGTTTGTTGGAAAAAAAATAAACTAGAAAATTATGGCATCATTCCAGCATTTCCTACTCAAACATAGTAGTCCTATGAAGAATTGTAAGGGTCTTCCTGTTTCTTAGTCTCAGATATAGTTTAAATTAAAAATAAACAATATAAAAGTTTGCAGTTATTTTTTCCAGATTTATGTTATGTTCCATGTACACTTGGAAAGAAAGTGTACTGTGCAACTGCGGAGTGTAGTGTTCTATATATGCCAATATATAGGTCAAGTTGGGTAATCATGTGTATAAATCATTAACGTCCTTTCTGATTTGTTAGCTTCTATGGTCAGTTACCAAGAAAGGTATGTTGTTAACATCTCTACCTATGAAAGTAGATTTGTCTCTTTTCCTTTTTAGTTCTATTACTTTTTGCTTTATGTACTTTAAAGCTATGTTAATAGGTATATACGAATTTAGAGTTATATCTTCTTGTTGAACCGACCCTCTTATTATGAAATTCCATATATTACTCAAATAACACTTTTGCCTTGATTTTGTTTTTCTATCGAGTTCGACAATTGTTGTCTTTTAAGAGTGTAATAGTCCATTTACATTTAATGTTTTTACTGACACAGCTAGGCTTAGGTGTACCATTTTGCTTTTTATTTTCTATTTGTCTCATTGTTTTGTGCATCCTCCACTTATTATAATCTACGTAATTACTTTTACTATTTACTGAACAATGCAAGAATTTTACATTTCAACTCTATTTACTCTTTGTGTTACTTCTACAGACACATAAAAAGCTATTAAAAATTATTATTGTTTTGCTTTAATAAAAATTGTTATTTTATATTTCCTACATATTTGCTTTTTTAGGTACTCTGCATTTCTTTCTGCAATTCTCTGCTTCTAACTAGGAGAATTTTATTTCATCATTTTTTGAAGGATATTTGCACTGGATATAGTATTTTCAGTTGGGAGTTGAGTTTTTAAATTTAATTTTAGATATTTATAAATATCATTTCATTGGCCTTTTCCTCCTTGTTGGACTGCTTTTTTTTTTCCCTTTGGATGGTTTCTACTTGCCTATAGCATAAGTAATATAGATGGGTTCAAATCCAAGTCGCTTTGACTTCAAAGCCAGTGATCCTTTTGATCACACTGCCTTCAGAATAAAGATTAAGCTGAAATGCTACAAGTCTTTCCAACATCCGGTTTCATTCATTAGCAAAGGTTTTTAGAATATAATTTACAAAAATGGCAAATTATAGGATTTAATTCTTACAATAACTTGGATGATTGGTATTAATCTCTATTTTATTTACTTTATTTACTTTAACAGTTTGGTATTCATTCCAAATATTGTTATCAAAATTATAAAGGGTACAAATTCTAAAGTTGTTTCTTATTAAAGCCTCTTTATAAACTTATTTGCCACCTAGTTATAGTTACTTCAAATTCCTTTGCTTCTCTTAGAAGTCATTATTTTGTACTTAAACTGGATGTAGCAATCAACTTTTATGATTTAGATCATTGTTGTACATTATTTTCATATATTACTGATATTTTTATTCACAAATCATTGCCATTATTTGGAGTCTTTCTTCACTGACTGCTGTGCACCATATTTCTTCAGATCTTGCTTCCAGCTGAGACAGATTCTTTATGCTATCGATAACATACATAGGACAGAGTTCTGAAGTCATACTCTTAGGTACTTTTAGTGGAGACTAGTCTGGGAGTAATATGGAAACTCAACTTTTAGCTATTATTCAAGAGCAACACCTATAACTGATTAAAATAAAGTGTTGATAAAATTCTTCCCACACATTCTTTGCTTAGGTAGATGCCTGCTGAATGAAATAAAGCAAGGGGGTGTTCTCATGCATGAAAGATATCAGAAAAAGAAGAAGAAGCAGATTAATCATTCCTAATGAAACGGAAAGAGGTAGATCACATCTTCTCTTTCTCCCCAAAATCCATTATGTTGACACCAGAGGGAAATCACAAAACCTTGATTCCATCAAATGTCCTACATAGGAGGGGTGGGATCTTCAAATGAGTAATTGATAGTAGAGAGGCAGCCTGTCGAAACCTTCCCTACCTAAGTCCAAGAGTATTTTCAAGAATGGAAGGTAGTAGACTCAAAGTAGACTAATGGCAGAATTCATAAGAAAGACCTACTCAGCAGTCTGCCTGAATCCAACTTTGAACAATCTATGAGATAGGTATTGGTTTACCACCATCAAATTCTATTTGGGCACAAATTCTTTTGTTACCTAACTAGGTGCTATTTATAACTAGAATAGTAGCTAAGGCCATGAATACATTTTTTCAAGTTTTAATTCCAACTCTGTATAAATTATATAATACTATTTTCTCTAATAAAAGCTTAAGTTCTCATAGCATTTACATAAAAGTCTATAAAACTTAGCTTTAGAAGACAGAAGCTGCCCAAAAATGTTGTTTCTGATAGTGTTATTTAGGGTATTGGCAATGTCTTAAATGTACAATAGGTATGTGAATAAATTAACTAAGTTTTATATAAAACAGTATATAATCATTAAGTTTCTAGAGTAATCCTAGATTAAAAGTAGAAATAAATTTATATGTAAGTTATATATATCATATTATCTAAACTATGCTAAAATGTAAAAATAACCCGAGAGAACTAAACTAAAATGTAAATATATTTTGATGGCAGGATTATGGGAGACTTGTGTTTCTTCTTCTAGATTCCTATATTTTTTGTGTATTTTTTAAAAAATGAATATGTATGGCTTTTATAATTGGAAAAAAAAAATTTACTTTTTACAGTGGGAAGTCAGAGCTTTCAAACCATGACAGTTAATAAATGAAGTCCAGCATATACAAAACCATACAGAAGAAAACCATTCTTTTGGCACACTGGGTTCTTATAAAAATAAATTATTTAAAAAAATAAATTATTTCTTACATGAAAAGCACTCAAAGATATATTACTTTGGTATTTGGAGTAATGACATATGTTAAAGTGAGCAGATTCGGAGTACCCAAACAATACTTCCTAGGCCTACATTCTTTTAAATAGACCACCCTTGTTTGCCAGGAGTACAATCTCGTGCTAAAGTAACTAGAGACCAAATTTCATGGTGATCTAAATTCACCAGGTGT